TTTTTTTATATATATATATCCATCCATCCATTTTCTGTTCTGTTTTATCCTCACAAGGGTCGCGGGGGGTACTGGAGCCTATCCCAGCCGTCTTCGAGCAGTTGGCAGGTGGACACCCTGAACCAGTTGCCAGCCAATTGAAGGGCACACAGTGACGAACAACCATCCGCGCTCACCCTCACACAAAGGGACAATTTTGAGTGTTCAATCATCCTGCTATGCATGTTTTTGGAATGTAGGAGGAAACCGGAGTACCCGGAGAAAACCCACACAGGCCCGGGTAGAACTTGCAAACTCCACACAGGGAGGCTGGGGCTGGCCGAACCCGGTACCTCTGCTAACCAATATAAAATAAGAAATCTGGTGCTCCATTTCAAAATAAAACGCCTCTGAAATATGACATTTTGACCTCCAGGCCTTATCGAAAAATGAATTTTGGTTTTCCCTCAATCAGACGAGGTCAAAAGGACACTAGAGCAACCCAGGTATCCAATCAGAGTACCATTGCTCACATCTGATGTCCCATTTCAAAATAAAACGCCTCTGAAATCTGACATTTGGACCTAAATTCTGACATTTTCCTGCGATTGGCTGGCAACCAATTCAGGGTGTTCCCCGCCTGCTGCCCAAAGACAGCTGGGATAGGCTCCAGCACCCCCGTGACCCTAGTGAGGATAAAGCGGTTCGGAAGATGAATGAATTCTGACATTTTGACCTTTTTGCCCATTTTTATACCATCTTAAAAGAAATAATCTTAACTTCCATCAACCAGACTAGGTCTAGGACATACTAGGGCACGCCAGGTATCCTACCCGACTAGTCTCATATGGATCTGATGTCCCATTTCAAAATAAAAGGCCTCTGAAATCTGACCTGTTGGCCTAAATTCTGACATGTTGACCTTTTTGCCTGATTTTTGAAACACATTTAAAAAAAGGATTTTAGTGATCCCTCAACCAGACCAGGTCTAGGACATACTAGAGCCCCCCATGTATCCAGCCAGATGAGCTTCACATGGATCTGATGTCCCATTTCAAAATAAAAGGCCTCTGAAAACTGACATGTTGACCTGAATTCTGACATGTTACAATACAATACATCCTGATTTATACAGCACTTTCACAACAGCTGCAGCTGTAACAAAGCGCTTTACAAAACAGTTAACATAAAGTAAATTAATAAACACAACACATAACATAAAACACGGACAGTCGTGCAATCCTAACCACATTTCCCTCTTACGCTGTTGTTTAAAGCAGTTTGAGATGAAAGAGGAGAGAATCAAAGTGTCCTTTCACCAGTGGATCAGTCAAGTCAAGTCAAGTCCAACTTTATTGTCAAATGTATACAGCACAGATGAAATTTCTTCCCTCTCAACCAGACAACAGGACAACAAGAGGAGCCGCTGCGGGTGCCCGCGCTGCCATCAAAAGAACAGTTTACATAAAATGACCAAATAATACAACACAACACATAAGACACAGACGGGTCGTGCATTCTTAACCACTTGTTCTGCATACACTTTGATGTTTGAAGCAGTTATCGATGAAAGAGGAGACGTCATGCTCAAAATGTGCACACGTCGGCTACAAGCTCAGTTTCAAAGTCAACAAGAAGCTGTAGCATCCATTAACGAAAAAAAGAGATTGGTTCACTTCTCCTGTCCCCGGTAAATCCATTTCAATTCCAAGCGGCAACTCTGAGTTCCAAAGACACATCTGCACTCCGCACCGACGCTCCTCTCTCCTCATGCTCAACTTCAGCAGCCATCCATCCAGCCACACCAACGCAGACTGTCCAACAGTGCCAACATCTCCACTGAACAAAACAAAACGGGGCTGTGAAAAATGCTGCCCATAAGCACACCGGGGCTGCTGAACTTTTTGCCCGATTTTTATAAAATCTGAAAAAAAAGATTAGTTATCCCTCAAACAGACCAGGTATCCAATCAGACGAGCCTCATAGACCTGATGTCCCATTTGGACTTGACATGTTGACCTGTATTCTGACATGCTCTGACATGTTGCATTGTTGCTCTGTGGTAGTCCAGTGGTTAGAATTTGGCACCCTCACCGCTGCTGTGCGGGTACGATTCTCGTTAAGGGAAATTAGTTTTCTTGATGTCCGTGTATGTTTAATAGGTTTGCTGCACTTCCTCTGTATATTTATGTAAGCTTTTGTTCAATTGTTAATTATTGTCATTGTATGTTTGAGCATTATATTCTTTTGTGTTGGGATTATCTACATCATATTCCGTTTAATAATTGCTTAAACAAGTTGTGGTGTATTAACCACCATAGTTATTTGTATGTTGTTTGGACGCATTGACTTCCCGTACTTTGTATTGCCATCAACTGCGCATGTGTGAAATGTTAACCATGAATGTCTCAGTCTGTTCCCCACGTTGTTAATGGTGGAACGCGACGGTCGAATATATTATAGAAAACGCGTGTGTGTGCCTCGTCATTCAAGACACAACATCTGGCGACGAGTAAAAGTCGATTATAGGGTAGTAGGCAATACTCTAAAGCAGTGCTATCAAACATACGGCCCGCGGGCCGGAACCGGCCCGCAAGGAGGTTCAATCAGGCCCGCAGGATAATTTAAAAGTGAAAAAAATGCATTATTAAAGACACAGAATTAATATTTTTAATAAGGTGCAATTCATTGAGTATCCGCAAGGGGACACTGTTTTGATCAGAGAAGAAGACAACAGCAGCCTCAGTCCGTCACTGAGACAGACCCATGACAGCAGACGCTTTCAATAGCACTCTCACATTTACACATTTAATAGCACTCTCCTTAGTTTGTAAGGTGTAGGCAGGGATTACCTTTAGATTTTATATGCATGTGTACATGGTTTAAACTTCCTTTCTTCATAAATCTTGTTTAATCTTAAAGTGCATTACTGTATTTTTCAATACCAATTACTTGTTAAAGTTTGTACAATCAGTGGGATCAGTTGCAATGCATATATGTGAATGATAAAAGTAAATTGCACATTTGTCGAAGGAAATGTAAGGTGGTTCATGAAATATTTTGTAAAAGATATGTTCGTTAAATTTCAACATTTTCCTAATGTTCTTGTGCTTCTTTATACCAAAACAAAGGAAAGACATATGGTTTTGGTTATTTATAGCAAAGTATGGTATCATTTTAATGGTCCGGCCCACTTGACATCTACCGAGGCCGTATGTGGCCCACCATGTGAAATGAGTTTGACACCCCTGCTCTAAAGTGTAGTGAGGTAAGATGGCTTACTTTTCTCAAAGACCGGACGAGTTTAAACCCGAGAATGAATCGTGGTCTGCCTATGTCAGAATCAGAATCAGAATCAGAATCAGAATCATCTTTATTGGCCAAGTACATAGGACACACAAGGAATTTGCCTCCGGTATAACACGCTGCATTAGTATCATCATAAACAAGGACATGACAAATAGGTATGGAAGGACATTTCATAATGTAAGTGAACCGTAGTGCGGTGGTACCACCCAGTGACAACTGTGAGACAACGTGCAAAGTATCAAGCACTGACTTCTGGGTTGAGTGAACGCTGGCGCGTTCTGGCTGCCGCTGCTCTCCCACAACTTTTGTGTTTTACGGTGTTTTTATGCTCGACTATTTTACTGTCCTTGCACGGATTACTGTATTCATATGATAATCATTCCACTCCAGCCCCCAATCCACTCTTGCTTCACACCCTCAACCATTTTCGACTGTTTTCGTCCCGGCGTCTCGGCATTCCACCTGCTCGGCTCTCGGACCACACCCCGTGCCATCTTCGCTCCGTTGTGCCCCGTGATGGGGGTCGGCAGGGCCTGTGTCTGGGTTCTACTGTTGTGGATCATCCTGTTGCTCCTCCATCAACCTGTCAAGGGTCTGCTCCTGTACTCGGTGGCTGAGCTCCTCAGGCTCCGTTTCCAATGGCTGGGCCCTCCTCCTGCTCTACACCTGCTCCCGGACATCGCTCGCTTTCCTTCCCGCAAATACATCCACCATGGGTCTCGTCGGGGCTTTTGCCTCAACCGATCCAACAGCATCACCTCCTTCTGGCCCCCGGCCGATCCATCGACCATCGGGTGTTAGCCGGCCTGGCTAGGTCGGCTAACGGTCCTTGAAACAGCGACATTGCCGGCGTCAACTTCGGCCTACTCAACATCCGTTCGCTTACTGGGAAGGGTAATCTTATCCAAGATATCCTCACTGACCGTAAGCTTGACATTCTCTGTTTGAATGAAACGTGGCAAACTCCTGGGGACTTTTCACAGCTTAACGATTCTACTCCCCTGGGATTTGTTTACATTTCCAAGCCCCGCGACTCCGGTCGCGGAGGAGGTCTCGCGATACTATACCGCGAGAAGTAGAAAGAACTTCCGGTCTCTCTCCCGCCACTCTCCTCCTTTGAATGGCTTGCCTGTCAAATATCTGGATCCGCTCCCATGATTATTGCCACAATCTACCGCTCCCCCAAACCCCACCGTGACTTCTTAAATTAATTGTCTGCTGTCCTCACCCATCTCTCCTCTCTGTCACCAAATATAATCATCCTGGGAGATTTTAATATACATATGGACAACACTGCTCTTTCTCTTACCATTGACTTCACTTCTTCACTTGACAGTTTTAGTTTCGATCAGTTTGTAGACTTTCCCACACACACCAAAGGTCACACCCTGGATTTGATTTGCTGCTCTGGTCTTTCCCCCCTCCAACTGTACTGCTGACGAACTTCCAATGACGGACCACTTCCTTATTTCATTTAACATTACTCTCCAGCTCTCAATCGCCAAATCACCCCGGACCATCGCTGACCGTAATATTAAAGACATTAACATTGACTCGCTCACTTCATGGATCACCACCCTGACTCCGGACATTGACTCCACTCCTGATGATTTGGTTTCCCGATATAACTCTGGTCTCATCAACATCCTCAATACCCTCACTCCTGTCATGTCCCGCTCTGTCATTTGTACTCAGTCTGCCCCCTGGTTCACCCCTCATCTCCGTTCCTTGAAATCCAAAACCCGGCAGCTTGAAAGACTTTACAGGAAAACTGGTCTCACCGTTCACAAGGACATCTATACAGCTCAACTATCCGTCTACAAGGATTCCATCTCGCAAGCAAAATCACAGTACTACTCTGGACTCATCTGCTCCAATGTTGGAAATACAAAGACTCTTTTTTCCCTCTGGAACAAAATTACTCAACCCCCTGACTCCCTGCCACTTCACTTTTACTCTTCTGACACCTGCAACGTTCTTCTCCTATTTTTCAATGAAAAAATCAACAAAATCCACCAGCACCTGGGCTCCTCTGTACCTCTCCCCTCCTCTGACAATCTTACCCCTTGCAAACTGTGATCTTCTTTTGAACTCCCCCATCTCTCATTAATCTCAGACCTCATCATTAAATCCAAGACCTCCTGTCAGCTCGATCCCCTCCCTACAGTCTTGGTCAAATCCTGTTTACCCTCTCTGCTTCCCTTCATCTCTCTGTCTACTGGAATTGTTCCTATGCCCTTCAAAACTGCAGCTGTCACCCCAATTCTGAAAAAAACTGGTTCAGATCTCAATGATTTCAATAACCTATGCCCCATTTCCCATCTTCCTTTCATTTCAAAAATTCTTGAGAAAATTGTTGCCTCTCAGCTCCACTCCCACCTCACCGAAAATAGCCTCTATGAACAATTCCAGTCCGGCTTCCGTCCCTGTCACAGTACTGAAAAGGCCCTCATAAAAATCACAAACGATCCTTGACCTGAGTGCAGCCTTCGACACAATCTTTCACCCCATCCTCCTCAACAGACTCTCTACCATAGGCATCACCCACACCCCCCTACGTTGGTTTCACTCATATCTCACTGGCCGCTTTCAGTTCATTCAACTTAAAGTTCATCCAACTTAATTCTTTCACTTCACAATCCCTCCCCGTCTCTTCTGGTGTGCCCCAGGGTTCTGTCCGGGGTCCCCTCCTTTTCATCATCTACCTTCTTCCCTCCTTGGCAATATATTCCGTAAATTTGGTATACACTTTCACTACTTGGTGGATGACACCCAGCTCTACCTCTCCAGCAAACCCGACGCCTCCCTCCCACCCTCATCCCTCTCTCACTGTCTCCCAGAAATCAAATCTTGTTTCACCCATAATTTCCTCAAGCTAAACAACAATAAAACAGAACTCCTCGTCTGTACCAAATCTACTTTAGACAAAGCCGACCGTTTTTCCCTCAAAATTGATAATTCCACTGTATCTCCTTTCCCCCAGGTGAAGAGCTTGGGTGTCATCCTTGACAGCTCACTATCCTTTCACTCCCACATCAATAACATTACCCGGTCCGCGTATTTCCACCTTCGTAATATCAACCGGCTCCGTCCCTCACTCACTCCTCACACCACTGCTATCCTTGTTCACAGTCTCGTCACCTCCCGTATCGACTACTGCAATTCACTTCTCTTCGGTGTCCATCACAAATGCCTCCATAAACTTCAACTTGTTCAGAATTCAGCAGCCCGGATCATCACGAGAACCCCCTCCTTCCATCATATCACTCCCATCCTCCGACAGCTCCACTGGCTCCCTGTCAAATTTAGAATTAATTTCAAATTACTTCTCTATACATTCAAAGCCATCCATAACCTTGCCCCCCCTTATCTGTCAGAGCTTCAAATTTCCATTCCCTCTCACCCAAAGAGAATATTTACTGTATTCGTAATATTGACTGTCTTTCCACATTCAAAACCCAGCTCAAAACCCACCTATTGAGACTTGCATATCCACCTTAAATCTTTCTCTTCTTTTATAATTTTATCTGTGGTTTTATTATTTGCTCTTGGTGTAAAGTGTCCTTGAGTGTTGTGAAAGGCGCTTGCAAATGAAAACTATTATTATTATTATTATTATTATTATTATTAAGCAGAGCTAAAGTGATTAGTGGTAGAATACAATACTATGACAGTTGTGCAGTTGGTGCAGAAAATCATTGAACCATTTTAGAGTGACCAGTAGCAGTATTTGTTGTACAAGAAGAGAGACTATGTCAGTGACTGTTTAGGGAGTTAATGGCGAGAGGGAAGAAGCTGTTTAAGTGTCTGCTGGATTTGGTGCGCAAGAATCTGTAGCGCCTGCCTGAGGGGAGTAGCTGGAAAAGGTGGTGGGCAGGGGGACCCAGGAGGATTTTCCATGCCCTTGTTTTGATTCTTGCAGTGTGCAAATCCTCAAGAGTGGGTAGGGCAGTGCCAATGATTTTTTTCCGCCATCCTAGCTGTCCGTTGAAGTCGGATTTTGTCCTTTTTGCGGCCCCAAACCAAACCGTGATGGAATAACACAGGATTGATTCGATGACTGCTGTGTAGAACTGACGTAGCACCTCCTGTGGCAGGCCATGCTTCCTCAGCAGCCTCAGGAAGAACATCCTCTGCTGGGCCCTTTTCAGGATGGAGATGGTGTTGACTTCCCACTTCATGTCCTGGGAGACTGTGATTCCAAGGAACTTGAAGGTCTCGACGGTTGACACAGGGCAGTTGGATAGTGTGAGGGGCAACTGTGGTGAAGGATGTTTCCTGAAGTCCACGATCATCTCTACAGTCTTGAGCGTGTTCAGCCCGAGGTTGTGTCGGTTGCACCAGAGCTCCAGCTGATCCACTTGTTGTCGGTATGCAGACTCGTCGCCGTCTTTGATGAGACCGATGACCGTGGCGTCGTCTGCGAACTTTATAGGTTTGACAGCTGGACTTGTTGAGGTGCAATCGTTTGTGTAGAGGGAGAAGAGCAGTGTGGAGCGCATGGAACTGCTGTTCGAGGTGCATGATGTCAGCGACGACAAGAAAGTTGCCATTTTACTGAGCTCCTTGGGCGCATCAGCGTATGGATGTCTCCGTAATTTAGTGCAACCTGCCAAGCCCAGAGACAAGACTTTTGCGGAAATTGTTTCCACGTTGAGGAATTACTATGAGCCCAAGCCATTGGTGATATCGGAGCATTTCAGGTACCGGAAATGTGTTCAGAAGGACAGCCAGATGGTTACGGAATATGCCGCTGAGCTATGTCAACTCGCTACAAGGTGTGATTTTGGGGACAGACTGGATGAGGCTCTCCGTGATGGCTTCGTCAGCGGTGTTGCTTCGGAGGCTTTGCAACGCAAGTTACTCTCAGAGGATGGCCTGTCGTTTGCAAGAGCCGTGGAGCTTGCTGTCAACATGGAGACTGCCCACCGGGATGCACATCAGTTGAGGAAAGGTGAAGATTTCACTACACCAGTACACAAGGTTAAGGAAAACCAAAGGAGAGGACGCTCACCCACACACCAAAGTGGATGCTACCGATGTAAAGGCATGAATCATAGTGCAAATGACTGCTTCTACAAGACTTCAAAATGCCATCAGTGTGGTAAAGTTGGTCATATTCAAAAGGTGTGTCGGGCTCGGGCACCTGTATCTGACGATAAGGACAAGAAAAGGAGGAAGAAGATAAGCAACGAGAGAAAATTTTGTAAAATGACCGGCTATGTGCAAACTGATGAGCAGAAAGATGATGATGTTCCCATGTTCCATGTTCACGTGTATCGTGCTAATGGCGGCTGTAGCCTACACATAGCCATTTTTTATGTAAATGGAAGAAAGGTTCCAATGGAAATTGACACGGGAGCAGGAGTCAGCATTCGGCCAAACAAAAAAGATAGTATGTTTCCGGTAACATGAAATTTCAGCATAGGGTCGGTAGGTCGGACAAAGTTGTTTTAATTAATTAATTATTTTTTTCTCCCCATCAAAAATTTAAACAAAATAACCATAAAACATAGAACAAGGAGACATTGAACCCCCCGCTCGCCACCGAAGGCGGCGAGAGAGTTGGGTACCCAGCGGCTGGGTGTTCGAGGTCGGCCAGGTCGCGATGGCACCGGCGGGGAGAGGTTGCCGACGCCGGCCGCGGCCCGGCCTGGACTAGAGTTGCGTCGACTAGGCGGATGGTGCGTCAACGAG